GTTACTATTTCTACTTTTTTTTTTAGAATTACATTTATTCATGTGATAAAGCTGAATTTTCAGCAGCCATACTCTGGTCAGTGTCAAAATTATCCTTCAGAAATTATTCTAATATGCTGATTTCCTACTCGAGAAACATTGTACTGCCTAATATTGTTGTGGAGTCTTTTTCCAGGAGTCTTCGATGAATAGAAAGTTCAAAAGATTTATTTGAAATAATTTTTGATCAATTCGCTGTTTAACTTTTTATTAATTTAATGCATCCTTGCTATATAAAAAGTATTAAGTAAATATAAATTACATGTAGATAGTACTAAAAATACATTTTTACATAGTAAAACCTGGCAGTAGTGGCTTTTTATACAATGCACTATCCAATATCAAAAAGTATGAGGTCACAGTATAGATACTGGTGTTTGTAATCTATTGCATTATCATCTGTGGCTCTCTGAACCTGCTCACACACTCTCACGTTTGTCAGTCTAACATTTGCCCTAGAATGTCAAACATAGTTTTACAAATGCATTCCTGTGTTCATATACATGAGATAATCATTGCGTGTGAGCTCCTTGTGTGTGCCTCCACTTTAGTTTGTAGGAAGTACGTGTTTGTCTGCATGTATGAACACTGATATGGACACTGTTGTCGTTGTTGTTATCATGAGCACAGATCATGCGCGGTAGGATCAGAAGCAGAGCTGGAGACTGCGGTGGAGACGTTCAGCGCGTGAGGTAAGCTGAGGTGTCTGTCAGGGCTGGTCCAGACAGCCTGGTCAGATAACGGTGACATACAGCACTACAGTTACCAGCCGGACCCGGTCAGGTGACACCACCACATCACAGCTGCCACAACAGCCTCAGCCCCAAAAGACTGTCACTGTCCTGAACACCGTCTGTAGTCTGGGGGAAGACAGATATGAAGACAAAATCCTCTAGATTCGGTACATGTTTTATATTATCTAATTGTTTGTGTGAAAGCAGGATTTGTATCCTGCATGGATAATGTGGCGATAAAGGAATTAATAAGATAAATTAATATCCTTAATATCCTTCCTTTATTAGCTTGTACTATCGTGGACAATTCACACATTATTGTTTCATCATGATAATTGCTTGTACTCCTCATTTTTATATCGTTTTAATAAAAGTGTCTGGTAAATGAAAAAAAAAGGACTTATATAGCTGTCATAAACATTATGAGATCCAGATCTCTGCATTTTACACCTCCTTAATACAACTTGCACATGGTCCTAAAAAGCATTCAAGCACTTAAGTCACATGTAAGAATGTATAAATGTCATTTATAATAAAATATTAAAACAAGTGGCATTTAATAACAGCATAATATTCTATTCAAATAGAGATAAGGGTTTATATGAAAGAAATAAATCAATTAAAAAAAAAAAATCAATACAATTTTTTGGACATCATAGTTTATATATAGCCTATATAAAGTAGCATGGGTATATTTTTGCAATAGCAAACAACACATAGTATGGATTTTCTTTTATGCCAAAAATTATTATATTAAGTAAAGATGTTCCATGAAGATATATTGTAAATTTCCTACCGTAAATATATCTCAACTTAATTTCTGATTAGTAATATGCATTGCTAAAGACTTAATTTGGATAATTTTATTGGCCATTTTTTTGCACTCTCAGATTCCAGATTTTCAAATAGTTGTATAAACCATACATCAATGGAAAGCTTATTTATTCAGCTTTCAGATGAAGTATAAATCTCAATTTCAAAAAATTGACCCTTATGACTGGTTTTGTGGTCTAGGGTCACATATGCTGTGTTTTAAACTAGCTATAGAATACAGAAAAATATATCAAGGTTTCCACAAAAATAATATTTTATAAAATTATTAAAACATATTATTTATATTAAATATAAGCAGCACAACTGTTTTCAACATTGATAATAAGAAATTATTCTTGAGCACCATACCAGCATATTATTGCTTGTACTCCTCATTTTTATATCGTTTTAATAAAAGTGTCTGGTAAATGAAAAAAAAAGGACTTATATAGCTGTCATAAACATTATGAGATCCAGATCTCTGCATTTTACACCTCCTTAATACAACTTGCACATGGTCCTAAAAAGCATTCAAGCACTTAAGTCACATGTAAGAATGTATAAATGTCATTTATAATAAAATATTAAAACAAGTGGCATTTAATAACAGCATAATATTCTATTCAAATAGAGATAAGGGTTTATATGAAAGAAATAAATCAATTTTTTTTAAAAATCAATAAAATTTTTTGGACATCATAGTTTATATATAGCCTATATAAAGTAGCATGGGTATATTTTTGCAATAGCAAACAACACATAGTATGGATTTTCTTTTATGCCAAAAATTATTATATTAAGTAAAGATGTTCCATGAAGATATATTGTAAATTTCCTACCGTAAATATATCAAAACTTAATTTCTGATTAGTAATATGCATTGCTAAAGACTTAATTTGGATAACTTTATTGGCCATTTTTTTGCACTCTCAGATTCCAGATTTTCAAATAGTTGTATAAACCATACATCAATGGAAAGCTTATTTATTCAGCTTTCAGATGAAGTATAAATCTCAATTTCAAAAAATTGACCCTTATGACTGGTTTTGTGGTCTAGGGTCACATATGCTGTGTTTTAAACTAGCTATAGAATACAGAAAAATATATCAAGGTTTCCACAAAAATAATATTTTATAAAATTATTAAAACATATTATTTATATTAAATATAAGCAGCACAACTGTTTTCAACATTGATAATAAGAAATTATTCTTGAGCACCATACCAGCATATTAGAATGATTTGTGAAGGATCAAAATAAATTACTTTTTTGGATTATGTTTAAATAGAAACCAGTTACTTTAAATCATAATGATAATATTTCACAATATTACAGTTTTTATTTGTTTTCGATCAAATAAATGCAGTGGCGTAAATGCAAATCCCTTGGTGAACATAAGAGACTTTTGAAAAGTTGTGTGGATAAAATATATATATATTTTTCATGAACGCAAAGTTTAAGTTAGTAGTTCAGAGAATAAATACAAAGTACAAACATTTCTGCATTGTTAACATGCACGACATGCTTCAGCTGATGCAACCCATATAAAACAACCACAGGTTTGTGGCAGCCTTTCTGCTGATGATTTCATGGGCAGGCTTGTGTCATTTACATCTCAGTGAATGACATGAGGTTATGTAGTGTAAACTTTGTCATAATGCGTTCTTGTAGAAAGCACCCTATGTCTGATCCAATGCTTTAAATATTGTTTTGGCTGGAGCATAATGAATACAGCAACATGTGATCAGCTGCTATGTAACACGAACCAGTAAATGCTTATATCACTGAAATTAAAGATACCATTCATAATTGATTCAACATGACTGTCTGTACTGAAGTAATTAGCTCTGAGCTGAACACAAATGTGCTTCTGGAAATATGAATGCAGGATCAGCAGACATTTTAATGCTCTTTCTATTTTGTGGCTGCTTATTGTTTCTCCTTTACAGGCCTGGGTAAACATGGCTAGTAGTAGATCAGGTCAAACAGGTTGAGCCGGAAATGAGCAACAAGTCCAGGATGTGCTCCAGCAAGCACCTTTGTAGTATTTACACACATCTATAGCGGGAATCCCCACTGTTGTGGATTTACAGTAATATCAGACACTTTAGTCAACTGTTAAACAAAGTTTTGTCTACTGTTTTGTCTAAGTTTGTGCTTTGCTGGAACAGACAGAATTCTTGTTCAGAGCAGTGTTATTTTATTATAATTTATATAATGTACGATTATCGTTTTTGTTAATATTTCAAATTAGATTTTACTTTTACATTTCCTTTTATATATATATATATATATATATATATATATATATATATATATATAAAAAAAAATTTGTCAGTTACTGTTTATTTTTTTTCTAGGAATGACATTTTTTATGGTTTTAGTTTTGGTTTTAACAATAATAACCCTGGTTCAGGTGCTTTTCATACTTTTTGATTTTCTGTGTGAGAAAAATATTAACTGTGAAGACAACCAAAGATTAAATTAGTATTTCAAAAAATACAGTTATGTTATGTAACTGGCTTTTGTATTGTCATTGCACAAAACCAAATGTCAAAATAATTATCTTGGAAATATTTACTTTTTTTGTTAGATTGACTTATATATATTTACTTTAAATATTAGTTTTTAATATATTATATAATTGTAATATTTAAAGTGCATCAATATTAAAATAATCACAATTAAATAGATTACTCCAGAACATATTTTAGAAGCAGGATGATATAACATCATCAATCAAATTTGGTATATGTGAATGTAAAGAAAAATGCCTATTTAATATTTAATTAATATCTAAAAATCTAAAAAAAACAAAAATAAACAATCCTTGGTGTAGTAAACTAAACTTTTTATACTAATCAGAGAGACAACTAATCATAACAGAAAACCATTTTTAAACATGATAAATGTTTAGTATGATAAAAAACTTATATGTGAATGTAAAGAAAAATGCCTATTTAATATTTAATTAATATCTAAAAATCTAAAAAAAACAAAAATAAACAATCCTTGGTGTAGTAAACTAAACTTTTTATACTAATCAGAGAGACAACTAATCATAAATCATAACAGAAAACCATTTTTAAACATGATAAATGTTTAGTATGATAAAAAACAAATTGCATGTAGAATTACAAAAAATGTCAGACAACCTATGGAGGTCAGTTGCACGTTTATTATAATTAAGAAGATACATATAGATTATTAAATAAAAATAGGCAAAAAAATAGATGCACAGAAAGAGACAAACCAAGTTCATATCTTCAACACTGAATTATTATAGATTATGAACGCTGTTCAGAATTTATGGTAACCATGAAGCAGACGTAATGTTGTCTGCTGTCAACAATAAAGGGTATTTATAATTACATCATCATGAAAGATATAAATATAAATATCTCAACATCTGTTTTCAAGTCATAGTACGATTAACAATGAGCATTCATAACTGTCTATAACTCACCACTTTCTATCAATACAGGCTTTGACATTCATTTAGTAGCCACTTATTGCACTCAAAATACACTTTGCTGCTATATCTTCATCCAAAAACACTATATATAGCTGTATATAATGTCTGCGCTCATATGAAACAGATCCTGAAAAGACTTTACTCAAGAACTTCTCATTAACTAGAAAAAAAATTGTTCAGCGTTAGACAAACCAGCCCCTGGCACTGAACTGATGAGTGTTTCTGTCAAACCCCCAAGTCTTTGCCTTCAGGGCTTGTCAGTCAAGCATATTAAAAGCTTCGGTTGAATTATAAAAGCAGAGAAAAGTGCTCCAGGAACTAGGTTTGTCGGTCCTGCTAAAAGAAATGGATGAAACACACTCTCTTGTTCTCAACCATGCAACCTACTAATACTTTGCTCCGTTTTCTCTCTCTGTGCTGGTAGCATGCACTCATTACTCTTTCTTTTCCTCTGTTGTGGCTGCATCGCCCTTGCTCTCAGGCTTTTTGGGTGCCGGGCTGTCCAGGAAGAAATCGTTGCAGGCCACAGTCAGCGCACCCATGAGGATGATGAACTCGGTGAAGTCCACCTCGCCGTCATTATTGGCATCCAGGTCGTTCATCACTCGTTCCACCGCGTCTTTATCTTGAGCGCTCTATGTGAAGACAAAAATGAAAAGATGGGAGTTAAAACTGTGTGTCAATATGTAATAAAATACACTTACACTTCATGAAGAACCTTAAACATCCATGGAACCTTTCTACTGCACTAAAGATTCTTCACAGTGGAAAATGGTTCTTTACAGTCTTAAAAATAAAGGTTCTTTAATTTTTATTGGTATGGTATCTATGGTTCCATGAAGAATCTTTAACATCCATGGAACCTTTCCATTCCACCAAAGGTTCTTTAGATTTTGAAAATGTTCTTCAGATGGTTCTTTTAAGAACTGTTCACTGAAAGGTTCTTTGGGAAATCAAAAAAGGTTCTTCTATGGCATTTTGGTAAAAACCTCCTTTTGGAACCTTTATTTTTAAGAATGTATGCATAAAAGTAAAGTCAATATGTCATTTTGAAAAGTGTGTAGCTTGAAGAACGCTGGGAATGTTAATGAAAGGGAATGTGTGTGTTCATTTCAGAAGAAAAAGCCAGAGGCTGGATCCACATACAAGATATTTGCATGAGACATAATTACAGGGTCACTGAATCTGTAAACCCTTATCAAATGGGCATTTCTGTAGCTTACAGAAGATGCAAATCTGAGCTTGCGTTACAGGTTGTGTCATATTTGTTTTGGCTGAAATGTATGTATGGCAGATAGCAGGTATTTAAATCTTTTTTTTTGCAGAAGTTCTGAGGAAAGATTTTAACAAAATGTGGGAGGGAATTTGAAAAAAAAATCAAAGATAAATACTTTGTTCCATTATTACATTTACATCATTGATTTTATCGTCATTTTTATTTATTTATTTACTATTTACTTTCTTAATGCATGTTCCTGGTCTTATTGTTTACAATGTGCTTATTAATCCAAATAAAACATGTTTGTCTTTATAATTTTTGGCTGACATTACAAATCCTTATTTTTTTTAATCCCTCCCTTCCAAACTTCGCATTGTCCAATCAACTCCCGATGAATAGGATTAAGCCCCAACCTCTTTTTTTATTTAATATCTTCTTTGTGAAACCAAAAGAGGTTGCAAAAATGTTGTCATTTTGCATATGCTTTCTTCTCACCCCAAGATAATTTCCCAGCTCCTCCGTCAGAAGTTCCCTTAGTTCTCCTCGGCTGAGCGTGTATTTATCTCCTTCCTTCCCGGAATACTTATGAAAGGTCTTGATGAGCATCTGCATGGCGCTTTCCAAGTTGGAGCTTGGCTCTTTGGACATGCTGTAAGGTGGTTAAAAAGGTCAAAGGTTAGATACAACAACATGGCGCGCCCCTAACTAGACCCTGCTGCATGTATGGTCACATGACTAGCATGGGCGGAGCTTTGGCTCAATTAATTCTGGCACAAACACATGTTTTGGACTATGGGTGAAAACAAAATGTGAAATGTTCTCTCAAGCATTTGTTTGAGATAATATCCTTACTATTTGAGGGGTTTATTTGATTCAGAGGTAAATTCTGATTAGGGGTTTGTCACTCAAAAAGCAACATTCTTACACGTCACACTTTGAGCGTGGCATCTTGGATCTTCTCTCTCCGGGTTCAGCAAGCTACTGCGCATGTAGAAACAGACACAGTCATTGATGAGGCACAACAGAAGATGAGAAAGACTGGAGCATGAACAGAATTTGGCCATGAAAAGAAGCATTGATGGAAGGCTGAATGATTTGTCTCAGTGTTTTTATGGCTTAACCAACTTTACATAGTTCAAAAGTTACACAAAGAGGTAACGTTAAACCTCTAAGTATTGTGATACAACAGGTTTGGCACTTTTTGAGAGACATTTAGATGGAATTATAAACTGTCATTCTCACCCAATGCGTGATTATATAAACTGTTAGCATTACACAACTCTGTGTTTTCTTCGAACGCTCATTAGTTGTATGTGAACGCTTCTCTGCTCACATCTAAATCATCTGTTGCTCATGTAACAGGGGCCGCATCTCTCAAATGGAAACCGCAAGTGAAACATAAAACTGTCAAAATGAAGATAAAACTATGGGCAAGTTCCCAAGGGAACCTTCGTCCAAGTAATCCGAGGCTCTCATGAAGACACACACACAATACACACCTGAAATTATCCTAAAGCAACTCCATTAGTTAATTTTGAGGATAGAGGCCAAAGTTTAGAGTCCTGTAGACTGTATAATCATGAATATTGCAAAATGAAGCAAAAAGAAAAACAGCTGCGGATAAGACAGTATTAATCAATTACGGGAATTACCCACTTTAATCAATTATAAATTTAAAAGTAATGAAATAAGATCAATGAAATAGTAAAATTCATGTTTGTTGCCCTTTTCCCTACATTTCTGTACTCTAATTAGCAACATAATTGAATTGCAACTTTGGACAGGGTTACTCTAATGAGGTCTCCGTGCTCAGCTCTTTATTTGAAGTACTACACCATCTAATTTAACTAATTAGTTAACCTAAGAGAGTGCCTAATTAGGAAGCTCAAATGGTGACATGCGGATTTGGAACAAAAAACGGTGAACTACAGCTCTCGTGTACTAAAACCAAAAACCATTGTTCATGAAATGGACACTAACTAGAAAGGTCAGAATGGTTTAATGTCCCACAAAGGCATTAAAAAAGTTCAACTGGAAGCATTTTAGGACAAAGCAGCAATAAGGAAGAACAGCAATAAACTATTTAAATGCAAGACAATTTGAAAAATTAAGATGAAAGGTGAAATTATGGCACATTTTTTGTAGGGCATAAGAAAACAGAAGCACAATCTCATTAGCAGTATCGGAACGGTATAGAATGGACACTGTGACGCGATGGCAACTAAGATGAGAATGGAAATGTAACACCAAGTGACCCAGTGACACTAAGGAAACTGACCGTTCTTTGACATGCAAAGAAGAAGAGATTAATTTATTTACATAAAAACAAACTCTTTCAAATCTAAATCGAACTCATTCAATAATACAGACCCCAAAAATACATTTACATTAATGAAAATCAAAGACAAAACCATATATTCAGGACAGGCGTGTAGTTTGGTGAATACAGGTAAAGTTGGACACTTCAGTGCTTGAATTTTCTGTATAGAGTAGTAGAGATGTTAAGAGATGTTTATTCTAATGATATCTCAATTATATTCTAAACCATTTGGATTGTATTTTATATGGCTATATTTTAAAATAAAAAAAATGTCACTTTACCTGAATTCAGCTTGGTCCTAGTCCAAGACTACTCCTAGTAATATATATATATGTGTGACTCATTCAATAATACAGACCCCAAAAATACATTTACATTAATGAAAATCAAAGACAAAACCATATATTCAGGACAGGCGTGTAGTTTGGTGAATACAGGTAAAGTTGGACACTTCAGTGCTTGAATTTTCTGTATAGAGTAGTAGAGATGTGAAGAGATGTTTATTCTAATGATATCTAAATTATATTCTAAACCATTTGGATTGTATTTTATATGGCTATATTTTAAAATAAAAAAAATGTCACTTTACCTGAATTCAGCTTGGTCCTAGTCCAAGACTACTCCTAGTAATATATATATATGTGTGTGTGTGTGTGTACATGTATATTATCACAATGGCAAAACCTGTCCCAATTTATCTTAATTCAACCTATATGTATATGTGAAGGTTTAAAAGTCTGTGTGAAATATAAATAATATACATATGTTTCAATTTGACTTAATTTTTGAAGGCTATACACATTCATATAGGTTATATCCATATCCCATGAGAACTTCACACAAAAGTAATGGTAGCACTGACCTATGGACAGATATTCGAATAAAGACAAAAAGTTATCAGTAGATAATCCAATCCAGAAGAGCATTCATTAGCTTTCTGCTTGGAGAGAAAGGAGTCCTTTCTCTCATCTGAGTTGTCTGTCTTACCTGAATGCCTACGGAGAGATTCCTTTGTCTGTAATGAAGCACGGGAGATAGTGATAGACAGCCGGAGAGCTGAGGAATAGATGAGGAGAGAGAGAGAACCTCTGGGGTTTAAATATCACTCACCTGGCCCCCTCCTTTCTCAAGAGCATCTCCCGCATCTTCAGTTTCGGCACCCCTCCCGTACTCTCCTCCTTTAGTTCACCTGCCAATATAAGGGCCATTTGACCCTATCATGCCAGTTGACTCTACACAAGAAGACTCTACAGGCCAGTGGAGTTTGCATTACAGTCCTTTATTGTTGAGTAGATGGAGATGGTCAATCGTACAGCATAGAAAATGAAGGCTGTGTATGTGGTCAGTTGGTTACATTGAGCTATGTGCACTTAATGAAATGCTCGTGCATTCGTTTAAAAGACAGAAGAGGTTTTATGTTACCTAAGAAGAGCTGTAAACTACTGCATTTTGGCTTAACATCAAGCTAGAAAGTCAACAGCAACATGTTCATGCTAGTGGCTTTTCTGATAGACATCAATACCATTTTCCACATGTGGTCAAAACATTAATGTTAGCCAAACTTAATAAGATGTGATGACACTATAATGCTAATGTAGTGAGGCCTAGCAATCACCTCCCAAGGTAGAGCTGCTAACTACTTCCATTTTTGACTGACAAAACTTAATTAACATCAAGTTTGAAAGTCAATGCTTGTCGAATATATATCAAAACAGTATACAAACATGTGGTCAAAGAATGTTAGCCAAACGTCATGATGTTTGATGATGCTATAATGCTAATATAGTGAGGTCTAGTAACACCAGACACGGCTGTTGTGGAGTTGGACACACCAAAGTAAACAGAGGTTTTAGATGGCCAGGATATACATGACAGCATGAGCTAAACGAGAGCTCATTAGCATGATCTAAATGAGCGCTTTTTAGGCAGCGTAGGATTTCACACTGATGTAGGCAATATATATCTGTAGAATGCATAATGTAGCATGTATAATGTATTATGTAAGCTGCTAGATAATGGCTTAATGGTGAAAGTACCTGTGCATTTGTCTCAATAAATGCGACAAATAAATTATCACAAAATACACCGAAATATATGCAGGCAAATATAGTCAAGTTTAAGGGAATGAATGCCTATGTGAATGTAAAGGTCTTTGGGGCCTAACTGCCTTATAGTGAACTGATACTTTGGGATGACTTGGGGCTCCTGAGGGGCCACAAGGGTCCCCTGGTGTGGATTCCATCCCAAAGGCATTTAATTATTGAGCATCAGCTATCATAAGCACACTAAGCATCTGATATTCCAGCTCTTGAGACAAAGCACCAAGATGGACAGCATGTGAAAGTCTAAAAGAAAGACCAGCTAATGCAGGGTGTCAGAGAGAGTTAGATCCAAGTAAACAAGCCAGAAAGCATGCCATAAAACTGCATTATTCAAAAGCAAATTTGTTTATTCTCATGCAAACAAGGCCCAGAAATGTGAACAACAAAGTATGTGGACTGCATAGTGTTCCCATGTGCGCCATAAATGCAAGTCCCACATTTAAATGGTGATGCAGTTTGTTAATTTCCTGCAGATTGGCATTTCATCAAACAAAAGAGAGGTGAAAATTTTGCTCTTTTTATGCTTCTGCAACACTGGAAAATACATAGTACATTTACGACTAGCACCAGGGTCAACTAAGTAACCCTGTCCTTAAGAGGTGGCACAAACAAAAAGTAAACATAATGGCCACTTAAAAATGATGTGTCTTTTTCAACATTTATGCTATAAAAAAACGGTGTCTGTTCTTCATTCATGGATGATTTGTAGAGCTATTGGAGGGGACACAGTGGTTGCAGTACCCTTACAACAAATCTGGCTCAAACAAAAGGACATAGTGATTAGTTATTGCACCTCTTTGGCCATTTGTCACATTTGTGGCTATTGCCAATTTCTATACACTATTAGTACACAATAAATCACAGGCATGAATTGATGTGCATACAAACAGAAATTAGTATTACAGTTTTCTTACAATTGATGGGACCCATTTCTCAATAGGTCACTTTTTCTTCACATTGTAAATGACAGCAGTCTATGTGGACTAAACTGCAGATCATTTTCCATTGCTTTGGCACAAAATGCATTTACTGACTAAACATCTCTCATTAACTACTTTCTCAAGCAAACACAACCACCACCAAAATTCAATGTACCTAAAGGTCAATTTGCACATTTACATTCTTTTTTTCAAAACTTTTGAACTCGAGTTCAAAACTTGACATAATACAAAACAGAAAGACAGCAATTTGCTACACTTCTACAGTAATATTATATTTAAATATATTCCAAATCTAAAAAAAAATTGATACTATCAAAACAATTGGGTAGCCTAGCTAAACACCTAAACAGGTGTTAAGTCTTTCATTTTATTCATCTACAAACCTTTATATTGTAATGTTAACATGGACCATGTAATAGCCTACCGCAGTGAATTCTAAACAGTAAAGAGGTGTCATTCTTGTTTGTAAAGGAACTTTACATAGGAAAACAGAAAAACATGCTACATCTCTTGTTGGTGTTGGTTTCTAGGTCGTTGTTTTATGAGTGACAAAAGGGCTTTTCACACTGAGATTAACCTCGGGTTAATGTCGTTTTAAATCGCGTTTTTAACCCTGGGTAATGGTACATTTCACACTTGTAATATGAGGGTTTGCGCTACTGTTAACCTGGTGTTATAAACCTCTAGCACTATGTGGCAAACGTGTACCGTGTAAAACGAAACGGTTAGCGATCGCATCGTACCTCGTATTCTTTGCGTTACATGTCGTTTCAACATTTGAGGGGGAAATTGTCAAATGGTGACGGAAAACCCGTAAATTGGAGTGAAGAAGAGACTGTTTTATTTGTACTTTTATAGTCCACTGAAAAGTCCATTCAGAAAATGTACAGTCTGCAATACGAGGATGCCTAATGCTAGAGCCTACTAGAGCTGTTGTGTTAACAGGTCGCGTTCTGTGTTCGTTCATTCATTCATTCAATGACCCTGACACAGCAAATAAGAACGCTTACAGAATGATCCAGGGTTAACTATTTCAAGTGTGAAAAGCCCTAAAGGGTGTTTGTTGGGCGACAACCTTAACTGGTGTAATGATATTAAGCGTTTTGGTGTTTCTAGTGCATTTTGGAGGTGCCAAGCTGAAAGTTGGTAAGGAGAACAGTGTGAAGAGTTTTGAAAAGTATTGAGAAATGTGTTCTAGCCATTGTAAAAAAAAAAAAAAATTTTAAACTGTAATGAGAGGGCTACGGCTCTTTGCAGTAAAAAAAAATAATTGTAGTGTATTGGCCAGGTTTCATATATATGTATTAAAATATCACAATAATGAAAATGACGAACAAAAACACAGAAGCATTTGAGATGCGACAATCTCCACTTCCTCGAGCTCCTACGATGCTTCCTCTGTTTTATTCTTCTCTTCAGCTTTATTCTCTTCAACTTTCACCCCTTCCTGTTCCACATCTGTTTTTTTCTCTTCCTCTGGCTTCTGCTCTTCGGCCGCTGCCTCCTCGGTCACTGGCTCGTCTTCTTTCTCCACCTCCTTTGCCGCCTGTGGCTCTGCCTTCGGCGGCTCTGCCTGTGCATTGGCTGCCGGCTCTGCCTGTGCATTGGCTGCCGGCTCTGCCTGTGCATTGGCTACCACCTCAGCCTGCGTCTCCTGGGTTGAACTCTCTGGTTGGGTTTCTTTTTCCAAAGAACGCTGTTCGCTGAGAGTCTGTGCCAGATAGCCAATCAGATTCATATACTCCTGGAAGCCGACCTTCCCATCCTGGTTGTTGTCAAGCTGTTGACGCATGTTTTTTACTGCCTCATTGTCCTCTGAGCCCTAAACACAAAGTTCCTCACATGTTAATCTCTAATGAAACAAGTTTGCAGCTTGTATTGATTGTCATTTCACACTGAAATGGAATAAACCGCTCATGGTGAAACAATGTCCAATATAAACTAGATTCTAATACAACTTCCTGAAACAAAAGTAAGTGGTTTTTGCTCATGAATAACCTGCCATCACAATGTCGAGGTGTTTTTACGTGGTTTTTACCATGTTGTCCATGTTACCATGTTGTTTAAATATGTAAATCTATAGCAAGTTTACAGACCCGGTTATGGTCTGCCAAGCAAAATTATTGTTTTGAACATTAATAACGCACTTCTCCACAAGAAACTGCACGATTTGAGTTATCATTCATGTTAGCAGCCCAAACAGTGCGAGATGAATGAGCAACACAAAGTTTTCCTCTGTAATTTAATGTGGCACCGGAGCAAATAACACAGCAGCATTCTTCATGCTAAATGACTATTTGGACACAAGTTTGTGGTTTCTGCTCAGCTCATCAAAGTCCAGATAATAAGGAACTACTCGAAAAAGAAATAGACCAGGGCCAACCTGTAGCCATGGAAAAAACGAGTGTACTGAAAGATCTTTGACGAATATGGTAACTGAATGATGAATGAATACCAAACAAAGTGTTGCTAGATTTAACAAAATGCAGCTTCTAACCGTCAGAATGTTTTTTAGCTGGCCCTTCACGAGGCTCTGGAACTCCTTCCCTCCGAGGTTTTCCTTGCCCTTGGATGACTTCAGGAACACACTCACCACGGTTTTAATTGCTGCCTCCATCTTTGCTTTCGCTCTACAAGAAGATGAAAAAAAGAGAAACATGTGCTATACAACTGACATTTGGGTTGCACGGATATTAAAATTACAGCTGATGGATGATAAACGACCAATATTAAAATTCTACACTAATTTGTTGAAAAATTATAGATAAAACACTAAAAACAAACAATAATTTTAAAGGCTACAAGTAAATTAAAGCATCACAACATTATAATGCACATCATGGAAAATGGGAAATATTCTATTTTCTCAAATTTACACTAGCGTTCAAAATGTTATGTCAGTAGGATTTTTATTGTTTTTGAAATAAATCTCTTACTGACCCAAAACTTTTAAACGGTAGTGTACAATTAACAGTTATTAAAATATTTGTTTTTATAGAGTAAAGGTAAATGAGCTTTGATTAATAGTTCATTGTAAAAAATGACTTGAATTTAACAGTAAAAGACAAAAAATGCTACAGTAAAAACCCATTAAATGGTTAATGGTAAGTTCCCCCACTATATATGATGAAAACTGTATAGTAGTGTACAATTAACAGTTATTAAAATATTTGTTTTTATAGAGTAAAGGTAAATGAGCTTTGATTAATAGTTCATTGTAAAAAATGACCGTGAATTTAACAGTAAAAGACAAAAAATGCTACAGTAAAAACCCATTAAATGGTTAATGGTAAGTTCCCCCACTATATATGATGAAAACTGTATTGGACATTACATGTAGCTAATTTTACGGTAGTATACCGTTTTTGGAAGTCAAAGAGAACATATAATTTACAGTGAATAACCGTAAACTGAGATTCCCAGAATTCCCTGCATTACATTTCAAATTTGATGTTTCTTCTTAGTTTTTTCTTATCACTTTTGTAGGGTTGTATGTTACATCTAATGTTGTTAAATTAATGTTTATTGCATTATTTCAGTTTCATGTGTGTTACCATAATGGTGTTTAGTGTTTGTGTGAATGACACTGTGCACCTTCTATATATGTTAATATTTAAAAGCTACTTGTGATGGGCTTTGGTTCAAACATGTGACTTTCTCATCACCACCTGCTGGTTATCAGTGTATTACAATGGTACAAAACAGATTTCGTTACTTCAATAGATTGGTATATTAACATTATATCAGTTATAACCGTAAACTGAGATTCCCAGAATTCCCTGCATTACATTTCAAATTTGATGTTTCTTCTTAGTTTTTTCTTATCACTTTTGTAGGGTTGTATGTTACATCTAATGTTGTTAAATTAATGTTTATTGCATTATTTCAGTTTCATGTGTGTTACCATAATGGTGTTTAGTGTTTGTGTGAATGACACTGTGCACCTTCAATATATGTTAATATTTAAAAGCTACTTGTGATGGGCTTTGGTTCAAACATGTGACTTTCTCATCACCACCTGCTGGTTATCGGTGTATTATAAAGGTACAAAACAGATTTCGTTACTTCAATAGATTGGTATATTAACATTATATCAGTTAATGAAATTATGGTATTTAAATGTAAATTTAAGTTAAAACCGTAAAACCTAAAATGTTGCTACCGTATTTTTTATGGTAAAATTCTGGCAATCACAACTGCCGTTTTTTTTTACCATAAATTTACAGAATTTTTTTTACAGTGTAATCTAAATGACAATCAGTCAATCAATGCATAAATAAATCCCTTTTATTTGTTTTTTCATTTGCCAGCCGAAAATCAAAAGTCTGATTTAAGTTTAATACTTTAAACAAACCCTAACCCTAAGTTGAAGTGGGATCATTAGAGGCTTGGTGACATTTCCTCATAAAGGGTAGGCCCAACACTCTACGGCGTCCATTTACTAAGTGTACAGTACCTGAAAGTCTACTAGGGTGTGGAGAATGGAAATCTTGGGGGTTAGAACTGACAGTCAATTGCAGATAAGGGAAGAGAGAAGAAAGAGGCAAGTCGCCAGTGGCTGTCCTGATCTTTGATAGGTCATCTGATCTACTGATGACCAAACCACACAGTGGCTTCATGTTTCTCAAGGGATTACCAACAGCTCAAACATCCCTTCTTTCCTCACTCACTCTTTTTTTAGTTCTGTAGTTTGTCCCTCTTGCTCTTCACACCTCTTTCAATGTAAAGAATTCAGTCCTGCTTTCCCCTTTCTTTCTTGACCAGCATTGTTTGTCACGTATACAATTTCACCAATGCAGGCACACGTTCACTCTCTCTTGCATTCCACTACAAATTTTTACTGATTGGCCAAAGTTTCGAAGGAAATGCCAATTGCCAATCGCCGTGCCTCATTAATGAATGGCATTACTCAGATTTTTTGATGAGGTGCGAAAGGTAACTCAGCTATGTTCGGCATGAAGATGCAGCGATTACATAAAAAAAAAAAAAAGAAAAAAAAAAAAAAGGATAATTTCCGAAAACACAGCGGCAACAATAAGACATCAGTAGCAGTGTTTTTATTGCTAACTAAAACTATTAAAAATCTACTTTTCAAATGAAGCTGAAATATAATAAAATATAAATATTTTGATAAACATTTAAAAAAATTTTTTAAGCAGCGATTAAAAAAAAAAAAAAAAAAGAAAAAAAAAAAAAAGGATAATTTCCGAAAACACAGCGGCAACAATAAGACATCAGTAGCAGTGTTTTTATTGCTAACTAAAACTATTAAAAATCTACTTTTCAAATGAAGCTGAAATATAATAAAATATAAATATTTTGATAAACATTTAAAAAAATTTTTTAAACATTTCTTGACAACTAACTGAAATAAACAGCAACAGTAATATTACTAAAAAAACAATATAGAAATGTTTTTTTTTTACTTTAAAGAATTGAAATGAAAATAGTAAATATAAAAATAAATATTCAAAAAAGCTAATTACAATCATTAATAAATACTATATTAATAAATATTTGATATAAAAAAATAATAATTTAAAAACTGAAGAATTAGAATTGTTGCCTTAGCAACTAAATTAAATAAATAAGCTTAGGTTAAGGTAGTAAAATGACAAACTGAAATTAAATTACAGCCATATAAAAATTTTAAAAATGCTTGATACTAAAACTTCAAATGCAATTACACTGAAAATGAAAATATAAAAATGAAACCTAATTCAATATCATTCTAAATACTACATTAATAAATATTTGCTGAAAAATCTGAAATTTTGCCTTGGCAACTAACTAAAATAAATACGTTTAAGTCGAATTAAAATATTTTTATAAATAAAAGTATAAAATGTTTATTAAAACTGAAAATATAAAAAATAAAAGCTAATTCTAAATATTATTATAAATACTATAAAAAGTAGGTAGGTATTTAACTACCTAAAAGAAAAAAAAGTCAAACATATAAAATGATCCGGTTATATAACAGCAGAATGGATTCAAGGAACCAGTGTTTTTTAGTGTGCATTCAGCAAAAGGTACATTTCATTGATAAAATCTTGAACAACAGACCCGCGTATGTCAGAGTGACACAACTCTGAGGGTGTCATCCTTTGAATTCCAATCATTGCTCTTTACGCAAGTAATTCAAACTTAACCAGAAAGTTACGGCTTGCTTGTTAAATGAGGACTGGAACCTTATAATTTGCATAGCTGTACAAACAAAGACCTAAAAAAACAGTGACATCCAGCGGTCAGCAAAAAAGCCCTTTGAGCTGTTATTGCTGGTCAAAATCTGTGTAGGTGTGTTTGTCATCCGAGACGGTTTCTGATGCCGCCAAATTAGCTGGCGTAAATACACAGAGTTTCCTCTTATCAGCAGTAATAACCACATTGACAGGTAGTAAGCAATTAAGAAACATGACCATTAGCCTAATTTAAAGAGAGAGCGAGAAGGAGATACAGAGATGACGCAGTATGCATATTAAAGTTTCTGGTTTCATAGGGTGTTTGAAAGTGAGAAGGAGTCTTTTACACTATATACCGTCAGGTGGAATGGTGCAGGAAATAGTTTTCTACTTCCTTGGCACACAGACACTCAGCTAATGATGTCACAATGCAGCAATAAGCTATATTATGCTTCCTATAGGCTGCCGAATATGAACGCTACATACATCTTCATTCGGGTAAAACCATGACTATGTCTCAAAATCTAGCAGACTGCCTTTCTAGACTTCATTTTTGGGCATCAGAAATGAAGGGGGTTTTTGCAGCGATGCCATAGAACCATTTTTGGGTTCCTCTAAGAAACTTTAAGTAAACAAATTTCCGAAAAAACATTTTTTTCTTAGTGTGAAAAACATTTTTATCAGCTGAAGAACCTTTTTTTCCATTATAAAGAACCTTCAAAGTTTCCATGGATGTTAAAGGTTCATAACGGAACCGTAGATGCCAATAAAGAACCTTTGTTTTTAGGATACCCCAAAATCTGTCTATAATAACATATATGCCTGAAAATGGTTTTTAACTGGAAAAATTGCTGTTTGAAACCAATTTTGAAAAGCTACAAAAGCATCTAATACTATAAAGAGAAAAAAACATATGCAAAATATTATATTTAAACTTTAGATTAAAGAATAAACAAGTTTTAAACATGTAAAAAATCTGGCTCTCACATACTTTAACCAAAGAGCAAATGTAAACAATGTAAAAAAAAAAAAAAAAAGGGAAAAGGAAAAGGAAGTGTAACCTTTAGGTGCTATTGTACCTGATTTGACCCTTAAAATTGACTTTTGTTGGTGTAACCTAAACAAATAATATTAACTAGTAAAGATGCCTGAAACGAGTCATAAAAAGATTGGCCTATAGTTTCAAAAGTATACATGATACAAGTGACTTTTTCTACACTGTAAAAAATGACCGTGAATTTAACGGTAAAAGACTGTAAAAATGCTACAGTAAAAACCTGTTAAATGGTTAACGGTAAATTCCCCTACTATATACGGTGAAAAACTGCATTGGACATTACATGTATTGGACATTAATTTTACGGTAGTATACCGTTTTTGGAAGTGAAAAGGAGCGTATAATTTATAGTGAATAACCGTAAATTGACTTTCCCAGAATTCCCTGCGTTACATTTCAAATTTGATGTTGTTTCTTAGTTTTTTCTTATCAGTTTTGTATATCAGGGTTGTGTGTTACACCTAATGTTGGTAAATGAATGTTTATTGCATTATTTCAGTTTCATGTGTGTTACCATGCTGGTGTTTAGCATTTGTGTGAATGA